CGAGAAGCAAGCCAGGCGGGAAAAATCGGCTCCCTCCTTGCACCTGATGCTGAGTTCAGCTGGCGTGATTTCCCCCCGACCACCCGACTTGTTTCCGAAGCCAAAAAGGCAGGGAGAAAGCGTGGGGAGTTTGAATTTCCCGCCCTTTCTCCCTGCCTTTTGGGTTCGTAACCCGATCCACGTTCGCAAGTAGGGCTTACTACTTGCGATGAGATCGGGTTTGTAACCCAAAAAGTTTGCATGTAGGGCTGTTCGTAAGTCAAGGGCCCATTGTACTACAGTTCAGAGCTGAGCAAGAGACCAAACAAAGGGAACTAGAAATAAAAGCTGAGCAAGAGGCCAGACAAATTGAGCAGGAACAAAGATGACTAGAAATCAGAGAAAAAGCTGAAGCTGAGGCTAGGCAAATGGAATTACAACAAAAGGAAATGGAATTAAGACAAAAAGAAATGGACTTTCAATTACAGATGAGACAATTAGAAATTTCTGCTCCAAACAATAACCTTAACAATTACAACAGTATTCTCTCAAAAATTGATCTTAAGAAGTTTCCCCAATATAAAAGAGGGGACTGTTCCGAATCTTTTCTCATTGCTTTTGAGCGCGTTTGCTGGAACTTTGAAATTCGAGATGATGAAAGGATTATTGTTTTGAGAGCTCAAATGAGTGGAGATTTGGCTGAGTTACATACAGAAGAAAGGGGGAACCCTGGAAGCAATTAGTGGTCCCTAGTTAATACAGGGAGACCATCATAAATCAAGCTCATAGTAGCTTGTTTGGGGCTCACATAGGGATCACGCGAACCAAAAGAAGGACTGCCCAGAACTTCTTTTGGCCAGGTATGAGTAAAGGTAAACAGATTACTTCTTTTTGAGTCTTAACGGTCAAAGCAAGGGGCACGAGGGTGAACGCCACACCCAGCACCCCGTTAATCAGATGAAGGGGGGTTCCACTGAATGAAAGGGAAGGAGTAGCCCATGAAGACATTTTCATAAGTGTTTAACTCTATGTCAATAATGCCATAAACTATTATCAACTGCTCCCAAAAGTCTCCTTGAAAGTGGCTCTGAGGAAAATTTAAACTTATTGCACGAGTTTAATAAGCATTCCTCATTTCTGAAGCAATTCAGAGGGTTTCAGTTTTACAATGCATAATGCATCAAAGTAGTTTAACAGAAACTTAGCCGAGGATTCTAATGATTTAAATTTCAGCCTTGTTTGGAATTAGTTAAATTGTAAGAGGTTATTGCTATGAACAATATGTCTAAGTAATTGTTATTTTAAAAGATACTGCTAGATTTTCATAAAATATATCAGTAGTCTGGAACCCCATTTTAGTTAAACAACTTGGGTGAAGAAGAAACAGAGATATAAGTAGGCTATTTTCTTGATGGTAAGTGGAAGCCATCATCATTTACAACACAAGATGAAGTCATGTACCTGGGTCCTGAAAGAAAGACTATCCCTAGTACTCAAATACTTGCAGATATTCTCACTACATGTGAGTCTCACTAGCTAAAACAAAAGCTAATTGTTCGGTTGATGCCTTGGTGTCTGGTAGTCTGAATAACCCCAATTCCTTTTAAATAGGCCGGAGAATGTATGTGGGGAGGGGCACTTGGGGGTTACCTGGAGAGCATCTTATTCAGACTGTAGCTCAGATGCTGTTTTTGAGCTCACTTACTAATCATTGGAATGTTGTGAAGAGGGAAAAGATGCACAAAGGCCTGGACTTCCTCTGAACTATAACACTGGTAGTTAATTCCTCCAAGTTAAAACTTCAGGTCATAAATATCATGCTGAATTTCTTCAGCTTTATTGGACATATTGACAACATGAAAATGTGTCCTTGATAATGGATGCATCTCACAGGCAGATCAGCCCAGGGCATAAACATTTATGTGTATCACGGCAACATGGCTTTTGGCTGAGCTGATGAAGGATGTTTGCAGATAATGCACTACCTATTAAAAGAATATGTTTACAATAATATGCATTAGCACTTGGATTACTTCAAACCCCCACTGCCTTGTGGCTATATTCACTGATGGAAAAGGCTTCAGGAATTAACCTCAAGGCAAAATATGGAGCCGGAGTCCTGGAGGCAGTTTGTGTCATTCTGCCAACTCCTGCAACGTCGCTGGAACCAGTTGTATTGGCTCTTGCCTTTCCATTGGACTATTTCAGTGACGTGGAGAGGGGGGATTTGCTGGTTGGGTAACAGCCTATCCTCCATATTATTTTACCCAGGCTTCGTGCCCTGAAGAGGCACTCCAGCTTAGTGTACAGCGTGAAAACACTAGACACTGTTCCAAGTCCTCCATACAGAGCACATTATCATAGTCTCTCGAGACTGAAGGATGCCTATGATGAGGGAGTTCCCCAACCAAAACAAAGTTTGAAAATAAAAGCTTATATTTGAACTATCCTTTTCTGGAGAGAACAAGCAGGATAGAGTCAAGAAACAATATTAAAAATATTAACTGTTAAAATATATGTAACGTTATACTTTACGTTTCATTTGTTGTCTTGTATTAGAATTTAAAACTCCATGATAAAGAGGGAATGACTGAGATGAGTGATATAAGTTTAAAATATTTCTCATCTCTGAATCTTTGAAAACAAGCATTCAATTTTCTTTTCCTTTTTGTCAACAGTTTTTGTCTCAGTATTCATTTGTTTCTTAGTTACAGGAAAGGCCTAGTTTATACTCCTATGGCCTCTTTCAGGATCTCTGTGCTCTCTTTCAAAGCCTGCAAGAAGTTCAAGCTTCTGACACAGATAGCTCTCTTGCATCTATTCTACTCTCTTTTATTTTGAATCTCTGTCCATTACTATTAGTCTTGTAATTCACCTCCCTGGTATGAAGTCCCACTTTTGTTCATTCTAAATTCCTAGCGCTGAGGGCTTCTCATGATCATTACTGAAATTAAAGGTTGTGAGACAGATTCATGGTAAGTGAGAGGTGCTGGGGGGAACCCTGGGTAAAGAAATTTGCGACTCTTGAATTTTGGTAAAGGAGGACCACTGTTAAATAAAGAGAGAATAAAGGAATAATCAAGACTTTTGATCCAATGATCAGTGAAGACAACACCAATCTGTAATTGGGATAAATGCCTGACAGGACAAGTAAAAAGTAAACCAATAAGAATACAGGAAAAGTCTGAACAGTACAGTGTTTTACGTTAAGAAGGAAGCGAAAGACAAAGGACATTCCTCTGTTTGTCTGCTTGCATGTTTTCTTTTGTTTTTAAAGTAAAGGTTCTACTCTTCACATTTAGTCCAGTTATGTTCGACTCTAGGGCGCGGTGCTCATCCCCATTTCCAAGCCGTAGAGCCAGCGTTTGTCTGTAGACAGCTTTCACGGTCACGTGGCCAGCGCGACTAGAACTAGACACGGAACGCCGTTACCTTCCAACTGTGGTGGTACCTCACAATTACATGCTTTCAAACTGCTAGGTTGGCAGGAGCTGGGAGAAGTGATGACAGCTCACTCTGTTGCGTGGATTCAATCTTACGACTGCTGGTCTTCTGACCCTGCAGCACCCAGGTCTTCTGACCCTGCAGCACACAGAGGCTTCTGCGGTTTAACCCGCAGTGCCACCACGTCCCTCTTTTGTTTTTAGGATGTACTTAATCTGCTCCATAAGGGAAAGTGGAGGTCATCATTTGCTGCTTTGCCTAGGTCAGGGTTGGGAAAAGCACATCTCCTCAGATGCTGGTGGATTGCAATTCCCAACATCCTTCATGATTGGCTAGGACTGATGGGAAGAGTAGTGCAACAACATTTGGAGGGCCCCAATTTCTCCATCTGTTGCCTAAACTGTTTTCCAAATCTTTTTCCCCACTTGTTTTCAGCAGCACCACAGCAGTGTGTAAGGTGCTGCTTAGAATTTGGGGACCTTCAGTTGCCCCCACTTTCTTTTCCTTACCTTGTTTTCAGGCCAAATCATTTTTTGAGTTTTTTGTTGTTTTGGATTGCAGAATACCAAGAGGGGTTTGTTGTTCTTCCCATAGCTGGGCTTCTGCATGAGCTAAATGTTTTGGTATTCCCCGTATAGGGAAGGATATTAGAAGCAGGATGTTCTAAAATAAGCATTGGAAAGCCTGCTTTTTCCATTATTCTCTTTATCTTTATACAGTGTCTCATTCTTGTACCTAGCGGCTTTGATTTATAGACAATTTTACTGCATATTAGTTATTCCTTTTAATATCACTTGTGCCATGTACTTTCTCAAAATACTTTATTGATCCCTTGCCATTCTGGTAACATATCCCCACAACTTTACCTCTCAAGGTAACTGTAGTAAAGGCTGGTACAAATTTAGACCAAAAAAGAGAGAGTGTAACATATTAACTTCTATGACATATCAATGATGATGGTGATAATTCAAAAGTAGAACAGTGGCCAGAATCTTGTGGGTCTCATGCAGCATCAAGAAGGACTCATTCAAGTGAGCCCACCCACATGTGGCTGGCTGGCTGGCTGTCACCCTCTTTGGCTTCTTCAGGTCAGAGAAGAAGTCAAATAGTAGACAGCAAGCATCTAGAGAAACCACTGTACAATTTCCCTTATGTAGACAGTTTTGTCCACGAAGATTTTGGCCAGTGGGGTAAGGACTAAATAGGTCTGATATGTTCAACATTTCTCCAATGTGTTATACAGAGTACAGCAATGGCTAACATTTGTGGATTTAATGTCACTTTAGGAAAGCCTGCTGAGCAAGCTAAATGCTCAAGGGTTCTGCACACACTGAACAGTACTGAAATAGCATTTTCTAAAGAATCAGGGCAGCACCCTTCTCAGTATCTAATTTGAAGACAGTTTTGTCTTAGTTCCAATAGGCTTCCTCCATCTCCAGTTGCAGCACTATATCCTGGGAGCAAAGGAAAATGTATATAGCTCCATCCTCTTCCTCTTCTATTTCTTTATACAGAAGTGTTACAATTCACAACAATATGTAAACTTGGCAATTCTTACTTTCCAGCTCATACTTACAGTTGCTGCTTCTAAGAGCTTCTTCAAGCTGCATGCAGAATTCAGATTGTTGGGCCAATACACCAAAATTAACTACTTTTGACTGTAATTTAAAAAGAAAGTTGTCACTAGAAATGCATGAAACATTATTCTCATGGATAAATACATTTAACTGGAATTTTTGTACTTAAAGGATATAACTTTTTTGGAACCTGGAATGTCAGATTTATTGAATTGAGTTATGGGATTGTATAGTAGACTGGCTAGATTTCCCATCATAATTAGAAGCAATCACACTAAGAAACAGATCCCTCCTTGGGTCTTTTTTTTTCCTTCCTTTTTTGTTTCAAACTATGCCTCCACACAAATGTCGGGGTGGTAGGGAGAGAACATGCATCTCAAAACAAATGGAAGAACTGGAGTTTATTTGAATGAAATGTGGCTAACATTTCATAGTTAAATGTGGACAAAATGGAAGACCGTATATGACACATTACCTCAAAAATATTTTCAGGAGGCACTCACAACTCCTGAAAGGATACAGAGTAATTCTACAAAGGTAACAGGCTTCATAGAAGCAGTTCCACTTTTACTTACCTGTTGTCCACCATTTTCCTGTTCAGCAGAAGCATATCGTGGTACGAGACCAGGAACTGTGGGGATGAAGAACGGTGCAAATTTTGGCACTTTGGGTGGCTCCTTGGGTTTATTCTTTTGCTGTTAATTGGAGATTTTACATCATGGGTATCAAGGAATTTCCATATTCACATTGCAGCCTGAACACAATACTTACTATATTCCCAGTTCTAAGAGGACTAAAAAATAACCCTATCTAGTCTAGCAATTTGAATCAATCTCAAAAAAACCCTAATGTAGCACGTTAATTTAAAATGCCCCTTGGAGTACTAAAATGAACATTGTTGTTGTTGTTGCCTGCTATCAACTCTCTTCTGACAAGCCAACCCTAACAGGGGGTTCAAGGTATGTGGGAAGCTCAATGAGTGATTTATCATTCCCACCCACTACACCAGTGAGTTTCCATGACCAAGTGGGGATTTAAATCCAGGTCTTCTAAATCGGAGGCTGACATTCTATGCCTTAAACTACACTGGTTCTCATAAAATACATATCTTTAATCAGAGAGGATAGACATTTTATTGTTTTCCTTTGTCAATGGGACAGCTTTTTAAAAGCTCTGCAGCACATTGTTTTAATCTTAGCAATTTTTATAAGCGAAGAAAAAGCATCCCGATGACAAAAATCTATTGATGAAGCTTTTGGTATATTTTGCCTCAAGTGCTTTTTAGTTTTTGTAGCTGAAAGAAAGAAAGAAAACTCTGCACAGAAGCTTATATCTGCTTCTTTGAATCATTTTTCCCACTGGAAAATCTTTGCCTGAATATATCAGTTACAAATTTCAGGTCATTTCCCTATCTAGGAAAAAATATTGTGTACAAAAAGGAAACTGTAAATGGCTGAGGTCTGAAGAGAATGGACCACACTGTAGATCTGAATCTACAAAAAGCAGCAATAAAAATGCAGCTGAGATAGAATTCTACTCATTGTCATTGAAAAAGATTTAAGCGTCTTTAATACTGGAAATAGCGAGTACCAGAGGACTTTATAAGTAGTTCTGAACCCTCAAAGCACTGAAAGTTATCTCACATCCCTGCCTTGGAGACACTCTTATCAACTGTTTGTGACTTCTAATATAACACAGTCATATGTTAGGAGAAAGAATGCATCTGATCCAAATCTTAAATAAATGGTAGGAGGCAGGTACCTTAATAATATCAAGACTGAGGAGGTTCTTCCATCTGGATTCTGGCAGCACAGAAAGGGTCACTAACGCTTCTCCCAGCTGCTCCGGAGAATCGTATTCTATCATTTCATCACTTGCTTCCTCCTCTTCTGTGACCTCCACATCTTCCAATTGCAACACATTCATATATAAATATATACCAATATTCATATGTAAAATTTATATTAAGAAAAAATACATTTCCATAATCTTAAATCCTGAATGATGAGGAAGTGACCCAAATATTTTGTCATACATATCTACTGTCGCAGCAGCCCTCCCATTCTATTTTAAAACAATATGTGCTTTATTTTTGTGCCCATCTCTACAGATAAGGTCAATGATACAAGACTAAGAGGGTATACAAAGCTAATGTACATCTGTAAGCTCTGAGACATTAACCCATGTATACTCCTTATTCTGCAGAATAAATAAATAAATAAAATTACATCTAAAAGTTGAACCTGAATCCATGGAAGAGTGATCAGATGTATTTTTATGCAAGAGGAAAGGCCTCAACCTTTCATTCTTGGATCTACAGGTGAAAAATAATTTTGTGGCTGAGACAAATAATATATTTTTGCCAACCCCAGATGATGAAGACATCTTTTAAATCTATCCAGCCCCTACAAGATAATCATGTACTGTATATCTTCTTGACCTTATCTGCAAAATGCTCTCCTCCAGGGTGACCTTAATGACTGCCAGCTGTTACGGTAATGGCAGTCTGGCTAGATAGGACAAATCACCAGACATACCTAGGTTTTCAATGTGGAAGTTATCTCAATTTCATTTCCTTGTTACATTTGAAATTGTAAGGTAATAACTGAACCCTTACAAGATTTGAAGGACACCTTCACCCTCAAAACTGCCAAAGGTAACAGAATGCTGCCTTTCAGTGGTACATTATTTCTTCAAGTTACTCAAAGTATTTTATACCTTTTATTCTTGGGACCAATGTGATAAAAAAAACTATATATACACAGTACTACCTTGAGCAGGGCATGTTCCAGGAAGCATTACTACAGCAGGCTCATAATCTGATGGGAGTGGACGCAAGGAGACAAGTGAGTACAATGAGCGATTAGACCTGAAAAATCAAAACAAAAGCAGAAACTGTGAGAATGAGAAGTACTTTACATTCTTTATGGTTCCATATGCTATACCTAATGTTCACAGATAGTAGTTGTAAATATAAAATGGTGTGCAATCCTAAAGCCACTGACAGAAAATAAAAAAAAATCACAAATGAAACAAAACAGGCTTTACACCTACAACAGCACCTTAGGTTTGCATCCTAAATGGCAGCTTCAACCCATACCACAAAGTGAGCTGTTTCTGAAGATAAGAAAAAATTAAAAATAGTTTTAGACATACATAGGCCCCTTCAATTTAAAAAGGGTTTTTTAAAAACTGAATTAAGTAATTATTTTAATCTTTTTCTATATCATAAGCAAATTTAAACTCAAACAACAGAATAACAATTCACTTCCAAATCATATATTCTGAATTCTGTTACATTTACAAAAATTTCACTATCCAAAGAATGCATCTTAGAACTTTGGAAACTTATCATGGAATAACTGAACAATTGTCTGACGTGCCCTTCTGCAGTAGAACTGACTCACCACAGGTAAATTCCAAGATCATCCACATGGGAAGAAGCCAGGAAATCTCCAGTGGGAGACATAGTGATGCTTACTGGTGCTGAATCTAACAGAAAACAGTCAACAAGGCTGCAAGAAAAAAAATAATTTATCAATTATTAGATCATTCATTTTCCCTTTATTGATATTTTAATGAATAAGACTAGCCGAATCGATTTAATTATACCTGACACAGTCGGAGAGAGTTGTAGCAAGACTTACTGGAACACTACTAGAAATAGGCAGAAAACAAATCACGGACCCAAAAACCCCATGAGCCGGGCCGGTTTTGTGGGCAATTTGGGGAACTGCGCTTTCAAAAAGTAAAACGAAACAAACTTTTTCATCACTGGCATTTCGTTTACCTGCCTGCAGAAAGCCTCCCATCATGGGCCCTAGCACCTAATGTACTCTCTCCAGGCCTCCTCTTCTCCTCCACTGTCACTGCCCAGCTCAGTAGGCTGTCTGAGGCCTACTTCCTGCCTCAGTGCTTCCCAGGAAGCTTTCGGTATTGTGGGAAGGGTAGTTTTGCTGCCCCATTAGGCTTCATACAGGGAACTCTCAAAGAACTATACTTCATCCACAATGCTTCCTCTGCAGGACTCCAAGCTCCGTTCTCCGTTTCAGAGGCCTATTTGACCTCCCAACTCAACTCTCGGCTCTGAATTTATGCATGACACAAAGCATGCCAACATCACGTTGCCCTCCACAGAGGGAGTGGGACACTGAATACAGTAGAGATTACTCTGGTGTGTCCTTGGCAGTGGGGATAAAACACTTAAGCATGGATACAATAAAAAATGAACTTAAGTATGTACCAGAGTAGTGAAAAGGGGTGCTCCGATTCAAATTAGAAGTTAAAATAAATGCCTGCTGCGTTCTTTTAAGAATTCTTTTTGGAAGGGGGGGAATTAATTGCATATCAAGTAGGGATGGGCATGAACTGCTTTGGGCTGGGCTGTTGTGTGTTATCAGCACACCACCACAGGTGCTGCATGTCCCCTTTTGCCATCCCACCCCAGCCTGCTCCCCCACTCACTAGCTGGTGCATGCTGCCCTTCTCCTCTTCTTCTTCTTCCCAGCAGGAGCATCTGCTTCCCTCTTCTGCTTCCTCCAGCAGCCGCCCACCCAAAGGTAGCGCTGCAGGAATCCCTGCCCCACTTCTTTGTCTGAGTGGGGTGCTGCCGGAGCAAGGGGGAGGAAAGCAGATGCTCTTGCTGGGACTGGGCAAACACCCAAGGAAAATGAGAAGAGCAGCAGACATTGGCTGATGAGTGGGGGAGCTGTCTGGGAGGGTGGGGAAGGGAACACGCGGCGCCTGTGGTGCCATGACCACCCGGCACAAAGCGCTTTGTGCCCATCTCTAATTTCAAGGCAAGTCTCCCACTCAGATTTAGTGAATTACTATTAAAGGTGTAACCCTTAGACTATCAAAAGGCACAATGCCAACTTGTCTTCCCTAAATCAGTGTTCAGACAATTGTAAACTGACAGTGCAGATGGGCAATAAAAAAAATCCTCTTTCCTCCGATATCCTGTACACAAGTTCTTAAAAACCTATGTAATCCTAATTCCTTCCTTTATCAATCTGTCTTTAATGCTGCACAGAGAGGGATCATTTTTTAGTTCTGCCATAAATTTTCGAGATTCACAAAATACTCTGCCTATGCAAAAAGTCTCAATTGTTTCCAAACTCATTCCAAAATGGATAAAATAACTCAGTTATAACTCAGCTGGACAGTCACAAATCATTCCTGTAATCATAAACTTTTATGGTCTAAAATAACACCAGTACTAATCTTAAAATAGTGCAAATTTGAGCAAGACATAAAAACATACTGGCCAAAATCCCACTGCAACCATGTACTGGAAACTGCACAATTGATGTGCCCCATCATTTGGGCTGTCTGCTGCATGTGTACACACACTTGGATCCTGGCATGCAAGAGATCTTAGACATGCAGTATTCTACAAAAGGATTTTGGTCACTTTAGTAAACATAAGGAAACTCTCAAGACAGATCTTCAGTGGACCATAAATCTGATTTGTGGCTTAAAGTACAGTTCATATGGTTGAATGTAATCCCTAAATATACTCACCATCCAGATGGCAGATCCCAAGTCCTAATGGTACAGTCCATAGATGCACTTATTAGCCAACGGCCATCAGGACTGAAAGTCTAGAACAGAGAACCGTTCATCTTTTATTGGGTAATAAACTGATGGTCCACAAACTATTTAAGTATTAGCTAGGATTTACTTGGCAGTTTAATATCAGCTTAAACAGTGTCTACTGCAGCAACAATAGCGAAAACCCAAAAATGACTAGAACAGGGATGGGGAATATATAAACTTACAGATAGTGGAAGTTTATATATATATTTTATAAACTGACTATGGCTGATTAGAGTTGCAGTCCAACAACATCTTGATGGTTGCACATTCTAACTGACTCCAGTGAACTACCTCTACTATTGATTTTTGTACATACTGAAATTCTGCACTTCAGACTGTTCTTCCCATTGGCTCAATGTATTTGGAAGGGGGAAAATTACAAAAATCTTGATAAATGTAGAATTTCCAAGTTTCACCTGCATTGCTTGGAATGGCAGAGAGATCAGCAAGTAAATGAACTGAGGATTCAGATGCTAGGCAGTCATTGTCTACCAAACTGCCTACGAAAGTATCTCCCAACTGAATAGGAATTGTTCAAAACTGGATTTATGTGCAAGCCAAAAATACTTAGGGAAAGGCTAACAAACAGCAGCAATATAAAATCTACATTCCTTCTTTCCTTTAGAAAGTACAAAGAGACTTAAATGGGATTTCCAGTTATTCATACAATAAGGAGAGTGTCACATGCTCTCCCTTTCCATACTGGTCAAGAATTTGGTACTCCCAGAGCAAAGGATCCATATATAATTCTAACATTTCCTTCTGCATAAACCTCTGAAGTGGTTTGAATGATCAAACCTCTGAATTAATGTAGATACATTTCAGCACATAAAATAACCTTCCATATCATTTAGACAGAAATGTATAGATGCAAACATACCATGTCATTTATCTGGCCTTGGTGCCCAAAAAACTGTCTTACAATTTTTCTTGTCTCTGTATCCAGAACCACAATGCCGAAATCATCCATTGCAATTCCCAGAATGCCACTAGGAAAATTCAATAGAATACAAACAAACATTCAAAATACACAGGGATTGTCCTTAACTGATAGTCTTAGAAACATTTCCATTGTTCCAAACAACCATACATACAACTTTAAAAGAGAGCACAGAAGGAATATGTACTGTATGGGTAAAATGGGATAAACGGGACAAGAGCATAGAAGCTCTCGTCGGAGTGCCGTCTCCAAGTAAGACCTCCAGAGAGGCACAGACCACTCCACCGTCAACACCTTCGTGGAAGGTGCACCAGGAGACAGATACCCCGGGAGTTGGAGATGAGCCTGTGGGGTCTGAGTATAGCCACACAAACTGAGGGAGAATTGGCGGGAAGGGAAGAATAGGGCAGTCTTTGGCGGAGGCGGGAATGGCGATTATAAATAGGGAGGACAACCAAATCCCGGGTGGCTGGGAACTCATCTGGGTAGAAGACCCCTGGACAGGAAAAAGAGAAAGGGGGAAAGTATCCAGAGAGGAGGCAGATTACTGTCGATGGAGGGGTCTCCCTCAACGCCCATCTTTCTGGGGTGAAACAGAGGCGAGAGAGTGGAGAAGGAGATTGAAGGAGGAAAAGGAGGCTGCGGTTCGTGAAGCGGAAGAACGTCGAGCATTGCGAGCAGAGGAGGCACAGAGGATGATGTGCCTCCAAAGACCATGGGGGCAGCTCACGGGTGAGAGAGACCAGGTATGGCGAGGGTATAAGGATGATGAGACTTCACCACTATTAAGAGAAGAGGGAGCTGAAGCTGATATGCCGGACCAGGACTGGAGAAGTTTCAACAAGATTCATACAAAAACGTTATACCCCTGTCTAAAGAAATAAACACCAGTTTGGATTTTGATTCAAAAAAGGCTCCTGTTTATTTAGGTAAAGAGGGAGGGCTGAACCTCAAACCTTCACATAAAACTATCATAAACAGTTTCACATATGGACATTTTCATGTCAGAATGACATCTGAATGTAACAAGGACACATGTAAGAAACGCTGAGCAAAAAAGGGACTTGCATGCAGGCCGGTGATCTACTTTGGATGCTGATTGATAGGCTCTAATTTCATTCAGTTTAAAAAATCCATTTATAAATCTATGAATTATTTTCCTCTGGAAAGACCTTGAAATAACGTATTGCTACAATGCCAAAACCATGCCTCCTCCTCCTCCTCTTCCTAGGGCTTTCCAGAGGAAATTTTGGGAGTTCACAGAGGACAAAAAAAATTATCCAAGTAAAACCAGCCGTAGGAGAAAGTCAGAGAGTCTGGGGCAGATACACAGAGAAGGAACATTGTCTATTAATTATTCTAAACCCAACATCACAGTTCTTTGAGAGGAACTGAAAACGAATCCTGAACAGAACTTATTGGGGAACAGCATGTCATTTCAAACACGCAGACTTGAACCTGGACAAAAAGCTTACATGGAAACAACATTTAAATTGACATCAATGTGAAGGGAAAGACAAGGGACAAGTGGTCTTTCTAGGAGAGCCGTCTCTCCCTAAGGCATCTAAAACAACTAAGACCCCCCCCACCTCCTACCCCGCCCAGAAAGAGAGACCAGTGCATAGACACCTGGGATTTGGAGGAGAAGAACAAGAGGGGAAAGAGCATATCCTGCGCGGCGGACACCCAGGATTTAGAGAGGGAGTTAAAAGGGTTAAGCGTGGCTACTCCGACAGGGGTTGAAATGGTGGGAAAAGAGGAGAAGGGGCGGGCTCTGGTAGAGGCGGGACTGGGGGATATAAATGCAACCCGAGACTGTATCCCGGGTGGCTGGGGGTACATATGGATGCAGGATCAATGGACTGGCAAATGGGAACAGATTTGGGTGCCTAAGGCTGAAGCTGAGAGCCAGAGGAGGAAAGGGCTACCTCAGAGACCTTCTTACTGGGGTGAGTCCGAGACCCAGGAATGGAGGAGAAAGATTAGAGAGGTGAAAGAAGCCATAGCCAGAGAGAATGAAGCGCACCAGGCATGGCATCTCGAAGAGTTACGGAAAATGGGGTGTTTTGTGGACCTTGGGACAATTCACAGGGAGAGGGATCCCCGTGGTAGGGATGGATTGGGGATGAAGAGACTCTCCCGCTTTTGAACCAGGCAGAATCTGATGGGGGAACAGCCGATCCTGAAAGAGTGATCGCTGGACCTTGGAACATAACCTCAGTCAACCCTTTGGAAGAGAATCTATGGTCACCCTTGAGAGAGCCGTTGCTCGAACAAGAGACTTTTCCAAGCGAACCTGTTAATGTTGAAGTTTCAAATGCTGAAGTTCCTTTAGTTGAGTTAATAAACAAACCCGTTTGAAATTCATCAGTTTCGTGATTTATTGAAGGAAAGGAAAGCCGTTCCAAAAGAACCTTCACAATCAAATTGAGGAGCAGTAATCACCCAATTGCATTTTTAATTCCAGAGGTAGCCACTTAACCCTTCTACTTGATTTTTTTTTAAACAGCTGAAGCCACAATCCACTTTTATTGGGCAGGCGTGCGGAAGGAAACCAAGTTTCTTTACAGATTCTCCAAAGCAAATACACAGCCATCTTCCTAATATGGCATTTATAGAATTAGGGCTGCCACCCGTTACTGCAAGTATCTTTCTGTGATACTGCAGATACTGCTTGGGTCTTGCTAATGTCTTGTTAAGAAGGACTGGTCTGAACTACTCAGCTTTGAAGGCTGTTCACACTGAGCAAAGAGACACATAGTCTTTGGAGACACAAGCCTCATACAGGCATGGGCAAGTGTTAGCATAGCAAATACACTTCCACTTCCATCATTATGTCCTGCTCACATGTAGGCTCTATACACAAACAAGAACTTGGGAAATGTTCAGTTCCTGATTACATTTGGAGCCTACATGTAAACAGGACCCAACTCATCTTCAAACCGGATGCTGAAACTGTGAAGAATGCAATGTCAGACAGGTGCACAGCTAGATGCTCCCGTCCAAGTGTGTTCACTGAGCTCCTTTAAGGCTGGTCGCCTAAACAGGGTGTCTGGTGGCTTGCAGGTATTATTCCATTACAGGAAGTAGGTGTTTGATAAGGGTGCAGGTTAAGATAGGGGAACTGTCAAGGATCCTACCTTGTTCCTCACCTTGGTTCATTAGGATTAAAAAAGTATCAACACACACACACACACACGCACGCACGCACGCACGCGCGTCCTCCATAGATCTACAGTGCTTTCCGTAAATAAAGGTTTCAGATGATCCTGTTCAATTATTTTGAGAGAAAATAACTGGACATCATTACCAGAAAGGCTTTTTGTTTATAAAGCAATGCCTGCTGCTTATATACCACCGGATGCTGAAACTGTGAAGAATGCAATGTCAGACAGGTGCACAGCTAGATGCTCCCGTCCAAGTGTGTTCACTGAGCTCCTTTAAGGCTGGTCGCCTAAACAGGGTGTCTGGTGGCTTGCAGGTATTATTCCATCTTGGTAAGGATAGAAGGCTGACTCAACCTTGAGCCGGCTACCTGGGATTGAACCCCAGGTCGTGAGCACAGTTGTGGCTGCAGGACAGCAGTTTAACCACTGTGTCACAATCTATATGATTATAGTTAGCCTGAGGACCTGGCTCATTACATCTCTTTTTTTTCCCCATGAGAGAAATTTTTCTGGTGTATCATTAGTCAGTATCTTATCAAGTTACTTCAGGATATCACAGCAGAATTTCCCGATATCAACCTGACAGTTGCACAAACTCTGCTTGCTAGGGTTACAACTCCTACTATTACCTGAAGAGGCAAGGGGGGGACACAATTTTGAGAAACCACAAGGACTGAAATTGTATTGGTGCAACTGTTTTCTTTAAATAAGAATAATGAAGTATAGAAATGTTTTAACCATTTTTAACTATCTAAAATATCTTGTAGTCTCACCTGTCTCTGTGAAGCAATATCTTATTTGGAGAAGAGGGAAGATTAATAGAATGGAGAAAGTTTGTGGTCTTGAATTTCCAAAACTTGATCAACCCCTCACTTCCGGCTGTGATTGTAAACTGGTTTAATCCATCCACTGCTACTCCTCTTATGGAACCATCATGAGCTATGATCACAAAAAAGTGAATTTTCATTTTTATTTTAGGCCCACTTCACAGGCTTTATGAAGCAAATAGTTTAATGCCATACACACTATTATTTATAAACTTAAATCTAGATAGACAGGTCCTTAGTATAACTCACAATCTAAAAGCAAACAAACAGAGCAATGTTATATACCACTCCATAGTGTTTAAAGCACTCTCTGGGGATTTTACAACTTAATTACGCAGGCTAACTATTGCCGCCACCCAATGAACTGGACTTTACCAAATGTGGAAAGATGGAAGGCTGAGTCAACCTTGAGCCAGCTACCTGACCCCATCAGAAGTGAACTCAGGTTGTGAGCAGAGCCTTCATTGCAGTACTGCAATTTAACCAATGCACCATGAGGCTCCAATCTAAACAACTATGACATCTTTGTGGATAGCAGAAGAAAGCCAATAAGTCATCCTTTTCTTGCAATAAGGTATAGTGTGATCACTATGGGATTCTAGGTAAGTTACCTTCCTCATTTTGCACGACAATCTTTATACAATAATATTTTTCAGGAAGATTGCAGAACCTGTGACCCTCGATATACCAATGTCCGACAACCTTCTTGATCCCTCACCATCAGCCAAGCTGTAAGGGACTGATGGAAACATACAGGGGGCCACAGTCTTCCAAGTCAAGTTTTTCATGCTTGCAATGTTCCCTCTCATTACTGCCAAGTTACATCAGATCAGATTTGTATTAGGTGCATGAAGCTTTATTTCCCACCGCTATTTTACAACAAATCAAATTAATATGCAGACATTTGAAACTGCAGCCATCAATCTGTCACATAATGTGTTATGGGCTGGCTGAAGCAGCTGGATTGGCAGTCATTTCTAGTAGAATGTTCCTTTGTTCAATGGGCAAATTATCTTACATCTGTATTCGCGAAGGCTTTCATGGCCGGGATCTAATGGGTGTTGCAGCCAAAAAGCCCAAAAAACCCACTAAAACCTATCTTACATCTGTAANGGGGTTTGGGTTTGATGACTCACAAGACAAATGTTCCTATAGCCGTGCTTCGCAAGAAGAATGTTTTCGGTTTTTTGTTCCTGCCTCATGTTTGCTGATTTTTAAATGTTTTTCGATGATGTTTAAAAAGTTAAAAGTTTTTTGATTGGAATTTTTTAAATCATCTGCACAATACGTATGGCTTTAAGGTAAAGGTAAAGGTTCCCCTTGACAATTTTTGTCCAGTCGTGTTCGACTCTAGGGGGCGGCGCTCA